ATAATGTGACTTTAATTTGGAAATAAAAGAGATTATTTCAAAGTAGAAAGCTGAATGGGAGTAGATTGACAGGATTTTTAAAAGGATGCCTAGTAATATTGGGTTATATTAAATGAGGCTGCTTTTATAAAGTTCCCTTACACCCTTGAACTCTCTGTATTTATGTTTGAATTTAGAATTACAGTTGCCAATGAAGACATAAATTTTACTCATTTACTTAGTTGTCACAAAAGGAAACAGCTATCTTTCTGGAGTAGTTTTTGGTATACGCCTACCTAGCTCGGATAGAGGGATTAGCCCTCATTGTTGTTGTTGTTAAGTGCCATCGAGTCGGTTCCGACCCATAGCGACCCTGTACAGGGTTTCCGAGGGTGTAAATCTTTACGGGAGTAGAAAGCCTCATCTTTCTCCCGCGGAGCAGCTGGTAGTTTCGAACCGCTGACCTTAAGGTTCGCAGCCCAATTCGTAACCACTACGCTACCAGAGCTCCTTTCGTTAGGCTCTTTCTAATCCTTTGATTGAGAAATTACACTGTTGAGAAAAACCATTGCAATGTTCTTTATCATACTTATTCAGGGAATTAAAAAATAATTAAGGTAATATATGTACATGGGGGAAAAATAGTTTAAAAAGTATAAGAGGAAATCATGCTCCTGACCTCCTGCCTGCCCCACACCCCCCCATCCACTGCTACCAGTCTGTAATCTTCCAGGTAGTCCATGTGTATGATGAACAGAATACTCATAAATATTTCTGTAAAACCATGAGTGAGAGTCCTGGTGTGGTGCTGTGGGCTAATGTTGTCAGACTGCAAAGTCATTTGAACTGCAAGATCGGTGGTTCAAGCTCACCAGCTGCTCCTTGGAAACCCTATACAGGGTTGCTATGGGTCGGAATTGACTCGATGGCACTTGACAACAACAACAGCAGCATTCATACTGTTACGCTCTTTTCACTTATTTGTGCTTTTATATATAGTCATCTTTCCATAACAGTTCATAGAGATGTTTTATTTTTAACTTCTGCATAGTTTTGCATTTTAACAATTTGCCATTATAAAATGATGGTTATTGTGTTATTTCATCCTTTTTTATTTTTATGACCGTAGATGTTAGCAGTAGAATAATAACACTGGATTTTAAACTGTTTCTAACTTGTTAACGTTTTGTTGCTAATTGCCAGTGAGTCAGTTCTGATGCATAGTGACCCTTTATAGGGTTTCCAAGGAGCGCCTGGTGGGTTTGAACTGTTGATCTTGTAGTTCAAACTCACCTTTCAGTCTAGTGTTTATCCTACAACACCATACCAGTACTCCTAACTTGTTATTAGGTGCCATCTGGTCAATTCTGACTCATAGTGACCCTGTAGGACAGAGTAGAACTGCTGCCCCATGGGACTGTTGGTGTGGTGCTGTGAGTTGATGCACCAGACTGCAAAGCCATTTGAGCTGCAGGGTCGGTACTTCAAGCTCACCAGCTGTTTTTCCAAAACCCTGTATAGGGTTTGGCATTTAACAACAATAACAATCTTTATGGAGGGTCCTGGTGCAGCACTATGGATTAATGCTCTGTACTGCAAAGTTGGTTTGAACTGCAAGGTCGGTGGTTCAAGCTCACCAGCTGTTCCTGTAGGAAACCCTATACAGGGTTGGCTATGGATTGGAAAAGACTCGGTAGCAGTTAACAACAACAACGAAAACAATCTTTATGGGAGGAGACTGCCGCCATGTCTGTCTTCTGTGGAACAGATGGTGGATTCAAACCACCAACCTTCCATTAGCATTTACATACTTAACCATTGTACCACCACCACCAGGGCTCCTTGTTTCTAACACCTCTCTTCAGAGTTTTGAGCAATCTGCATTGTGTCATTGTTATAGTTTTACTGGCAGTGCACTACCTAGCATCATAAGCCTCAGCTCAGTTGCTCTTCTTCCAGCCTTCCCTTTCTTCCTCCTTTCTCCTGCCTCTTTCTCTTCACTGAAAAAGATTTCTCTGTCTCACTTCATCTTTTCTAAAATCATTGAAGTCCTAGACCACTAGGACTCCTGTAGAGAGGACATTTGAGTGCATATTTGAATTTGACTGCTGTTAGATGCCTGGTAAACAGACTCTTCTATCACCTAGTAAATTAAAACAAAATTGTATTTTTACTTAAGTTTATAGAGTCAGAATTAATACCAGAGAGGCAACTTAAGAAGAAGAAAAATTTCCTGTAGGTGTACAGGTGCTGTGTTTAAGCTGAAATAATAGGGCTCTGCAACTTTTGAGTACTTTACAGCTGTGGTGGTTGTTTATGACTTTTTGTAGTCTGTTTGCTTTGCATTCTTACATGTGTTAAGGAAGTTAACATTGGTTTATCTGAATTGACAGGTGCAAGAATTGAACTGTTGATGCATAGTTGAACTCTTGGGTAAGGGGAAGGGAATAGAAGCTTGCTTTTATCATGTATCTGTTAGCATTGATAGAACATACTGTTTCTTCAGGCAAAAAATTGTTTTTTTTTTGGATCTCAATATGGTGTTAAGAATTGAAAATGTGAAAGTGCATTATCGTGGTCCTTCCAAAATGAGGTTGGAAGAATGAGATGGGATAAAGCCTACTCTGATTGCTGAGTAGACAAACATTGGAGACAGGTAGAAAACAGTGCTAGAGCCATATAACCTTTTAAGCCTGGCGATCACTACAATGAGGGTCTTTCAGTGCCTTTACTTTGTTGACTCACATACTAGCTCTGATAACATCATTGAACTAAAGTGATTCAGACAGGTTAGAATTTCCTTGTGGTTCACTCTGCACTGCATGCAAACATTGTTTCTGAAGTAGTTACTTTTATAATCTTGCCCATTTTATAAGGTCAGGTTGCAGATAAACATCCAAAAAAATATTTGAAGAGAAGTTACATTTGCATGAAAAATTGTGACTAAAAAATATGTTGATACCTACATTAGTTTAAATAGAAGGAAAATGAATAGGGAGTCAGGACACCTGGAGTAGTGTCTTAGATCTACTTTTAGACCCCAGATATCATCATCATCTTTTTTTAAAAGAGGGATCAGAGTAGTTCATTTCTTTCTTCATAGCTCTAAAATTCCTTTGCTGTACAAGGAGTACTCTATTGAAATATTTCCTTGTGTAATCTAAGGTGGCTGTGTTTGGGGTAACAAACAGTATTATCAGTTAAGAAGAGTGGTGGTGTATACTGTTGTTTTCTTAGTTTATGTATAGTGTTTTTACAGTAGTGGATTACTTGTTCTGCAGAATTATAATTCAAGTTCTTGGAATACCATTTTGAATTTGTGTGTTATTTATATTTTAGGAATGTTTTCGTTTTGCATTTGTATCCATGGTTATAAAAACACAAGCATTCAACTTATAAAGTAAAATACCCTGTTGTTGTTGTTATGTGCCATGGAGTCAGTTCTGACTCATAGCGACCCTGCACAGGGTTTCTGAGGCTGTTAATCTTTATGGGAGCAGAATGCCTCATCCTTCTCCCATGGAACCGCTGGTAATTTCGAACTGCTGACCGTACGGTTCGCAGCCCGATTCGTAACCAGTACGCTACCAGAGCTCCTTTAAGAATATAATAAAAAGAAGAATTGAGGGGATAGAGGATAGGCTTGAAAGTTTGGAAACCTAGGTTCTTTCTTTATCTTTCTGAAAATGATCCTATAATAATTCTCTTCTATGTCTTTTTATGTCTTGACTACCTTCTTCCTTTTTTTTTTTTTTTTAATATTTTTGAGTAAACTTTTATTGGTGGCTTGGTAAAGAGACAAGTGAAAGAACTAGACCTCATCCTGGCTTTTAGAAGAATTTATAATTATGTTGATTCTCTCTAAGCCAGCTATAAAGATTGCTGTATTTCAAAGCAGCAGTTCTAAAATAATATTAAAAATTCAGACACTTCTGTTTCTTGCTTTGTTTTTTTGTGGGGATTAATATTGGGGAAGAGGAATGCGGGGTGAATTCGTGATCTTCAGATTCTTTTACACTCTTGACACGGTGATGTGAGAAACAGTAAAAACCGTAGCAAGAATAGAGAAGATTGGATTTATGTATCATTTGAGTCAGTAAGCATTGTACATTGGAAAGAACTCTGGACTAACAGAAATTTGGGCTTAAATTTGGGTTCAGCTAATTAATTGTGTAAGTTTAGACAAGTCGTATCATTTCTGATCCTCTTCCTCATTCCTCATGCATACTAATAACTACTAAGTGTTGTGGGGAAAAGGATATCATTTTTTGAAAGTCTGTTATTCTGAGCTGTCATTGTTGAGGGTCAATGCATATACTTTGGGTAGGAAAATTTTTAAATCCTTGCAGGAGAATGTTGGTAAATATCCATTTTCAGATATACCATGAGTATATGTGAAAGTTCTAACTTTAGATAAACATAGAGATTGTTGTGAACTTTATGACTGGAGCCCATAGAAGGAAGGTTTCTTTAAGTACTGGACTTAATTGTTTTTAAATGACTTGATTTAGAAATATTTTATTAACACCAGAAACTTTATTGAATCCAGTTTTGAAGAAAGAAGGGCACAATTGGTTTTTTAATCTGATTTTTGAAACTCTTGGTACATAACTTCTTGTTAAGTGCCGTTGAGTTTGTTCAGACTCATAGCGACCCTGTGTAGAGTTTCCAAGGAGTATTGGTGAGTTTGAACCACTGACTTTGTAGTTGAGGGCTTATCCTACAGCACACACCAGTAGAACTGGTCACACTTTAGATGTCTATGCTTATAAGAAATGTATTCTTGACTTCTGTCAAACTCCAGTTCATTTACTTATGTTTCGTTCTCCCCCCACCCCCAGGTTTTTCGTTGGAATATACGCTACACATTTATGGCGATTCTGAGCGTGAGGGCAGACTTCTGCCAGGCTCAGCACAGCATTTTCGCTGACAAGTGAGCTTGGGCATTCTATGTGCCATAATTAACCTTGCCTTGAAGAATCTGGACACCGAGACTGGCCTCAGAAATAAATAGTTGGGCTTTTTTTTTTTTTTTTTTAATTGCAAGCATATTTCTTTTAATGACTCCAGAAAAATTAAGCTTCAAGTAAACAAAAGTGGAAAGTGACCTACACTTTTAACTTGTCTCACTAGTGCCTAAATGTAGTAAAGGCTGCTTTAAGTTTTATATGTAGTTGGATTTTTTTTTTTTTGGAGTCTGAAGGTATCCATCTACAGTCATTGAGGCCCAAGTTGAATTTGAATTCAAGTGGATTCTAAATACTTCTGTTAATCTTGAAGAGAGAAGCTTCTTAAGGAGTAAACAAGTTGAATAGAGAAAACATTGATTGATAATAGGTGTTCTAGTCGTCTTTTTAATGTTTTCTGCTGTGAAACATTTCAAGATTTATTGATTTCCTCCCTTCTCCCCATTTTTCCCATCACATTCACATTCACACGCACACGCACGCACATTCACTTTTTATTTGCCATAATGAACCGTCCAGCCCCTGTGGAGATCTCCTATGAGAACATGCGTTTTCTGATAACTCACAACCCTACCAATGCTACTCTCAACAAGTTCACAGAGGTAAGATTTTTTAATTGATTTATATGTAAAAATCTCAGTGAAAAATTAACACCATTATAAGGAAATCTAATACTGCAAGGTGATGGATGATAATCTTTGGTCAAATTGGGTTGAGTTAATTAACAACAAATTTTTTAAAACATTAGAATTTGGGGAAATTTTATATACATTGTCTAGTACCATAGTTTTTCTTGTATCATCTCTACATTTGTTAGCAGTTCTTTTGTCATAATTTAAATAATAAGAGTAATATTTTAAAAGCACTTAATATGTATTAGGCATTATGTATGGTAAGCAGTTTTATGCATTATGTAGTTTACTTTCCATAAGAACCCTTATGAGGTGTAGGTATCATTATTTTCTCCCTCCTCTAAAGATGATGAGCTAAAGTTCAGAGCAATTTATAAGCATATACTGGCACACATTAAATAATAGAACTGATATACTTACCCAAGTCTCTGACACTAAAAGCCTTGTCCTACCTACTTCAACTATTTCAGCCACTCTTAGTGAGTTGCCACCCCAATATTGTAGCAACAGTAATCATTTAAAGGGTTCAGAAATGTGGAAAAAAGATGTTAGGTAGTATTTCAAATTTTGATTTTACTTGATTGCTTTTGCTTTATTTATAGAGTAGATTTAGAGTGTTGTATTCTAAGTCTACCCCTCCCATTTTACAAATGGCAAAACTGAGACTGAAAGGTTTTGACTTGCTTAAGTTCCCAGATACTTTACAATAAAAACTTCTACCACAACCTTTCAGTGAACAGTTACTATTATGAAGTTCATTTGAATGGGATTTTAGCTGTGATTTGAAACTTGTTTTTAAAATTCTTAACTCAGTATAATAACTTGTAGCTTCTCTGGATTTCTTGTATGAGAAAGAAGGCTTTTCTGTGGAAAAAAAAAATAAAGTCCTTTAACTATTAAAATAACTTTACTCTTTAGATAACTGAAGATAAACACTTCTTATAGGATATCACTGTTCCTGTTTGTTTATACTTATAATTCCCTAAGCTTCTTAACTTTGTGTACACAGTGTACAAGTGGATTCCAGGCCTGTATGCCCTCAGGTGGTTCAGTCACCTTTAAGCCTGGCAGAATTAATGTGATGCTATTTTCAGCTGCTGGATTCCTTGGCCATAGACTCTAAAAGTGACAGAGGCCACTGTCCTGTGAAACTATTTAAAGACCTTGGTGGCCCCATACAGATAGGTAGCCACTGTAGAAAGAATTTTAAAGGAGCACTTCTGGCTTTTATTGTGTGTTAGCTAGCTTTATAGTATACCATTTTTCCTTCTTAATTTCAAAACTAGTTTTATTTATTGTTTAAGAAACAGGAAGTATATTTATTGCATAAAAATCAGAAGATACAAATAAGCAAAAAGACAATTAAAAACACCTTTAATACCTGGCTTCCTCACGTTTTTCTTTGAATATATACATGGATTTATAAATATGCATATAGATAGTTGTACGTTAAAAAACAATCTCCTCAACTTCCTTAATATTTTTTAAATAGCTGTAATAGTATTCTATTGTATGGATGTACTATAATTTGTCTAATCAGTCCCCTGTTTTTGGACAATATTGTTTCCTGATTTTGCCATTCCAGATAGCTGTGGTGAATATTTTGGTACCTCAATCTTTATCTTTGTTTCCTTAGTATAAATTTCCAGAAGTAAAGTTTCTAGATCAAAGTGTGTATTTACTTTTAAAGTTTTGTGTTATACTCTCAAATTGCCCTATAGAAAGGAGAGTCTTACTCATAATCCCACTGGTAGTGCAAGATTGTCATTAGCTACAGTTGAGAACCACTTCAATCTTTTGTCTATTTCATAGGAAAAGAATGATAAAGTCTTTCAGTTCATAATAGTACTTTTCTAAAGCTCTGGTTGCAGATTGCAAAAGCAAGTACTTCTGTATTTATTTGTTTTTTTTTTTAAAGGAACTTAAGAAGTATGGAGTGACAACTTTGGTTCGAGTTTGTGATGCTACGTATGATAAAGCGCCAGTTGAAAAAGAAGGCATCCATGTTCTAGTGAGTGTGTAGTGTTTTATTTTTTACTAAACAAGTTGTACTTTTCAAACAGATTTATAAAACTTGACACAGTAATTTTGCTTTTTAAGCTTGTTTTAAAAGGAGATGCAGTGCTTATAGCAATCAGTTAAAATTCCTTTGGCTTAATAATTTATCTTTAAACTCTACAAAAGTAGAGTATTTCCAATACATAGCAAAATTTAATGTATGCTTATTTCATGAAAAACAGAAAATTCTCTTCATTTTAAAACTGTGTGTGTGTGAATTTGGTGAAGGTGTTCAGACCAAATCAGTTTGGCATTCAACAAATCATGTACTTTGTTTGATTATAATGATTGCAGTTCCCTGTATGTATCATCACTTAACAATATTTACCTCTATTCACTTTAAGTTGTGCACTCCTCCCTGTGTCTTCCATTACCTTAATCTTTCCTCTGCCAACCTCCCTCATGTTGTTTATACACTCGCAATCACCCAAATTAGCATGTCTACCCTGAAGCTGGGATTGTGGTGGCTCCAAATGGTGGCATTGGACAGTGAACCGAGGTTCAAGCCCACCAGCCGCTCTGAGGAAGAAGATGAGACTTTCTGCTCCCATGAAGATTTAAAGCCTCAGAAACTCTATACAGGGTCTCTGTGCTTGATGGCACTTGATAATAGCAGCAACCTTCTAGCCCAAGGGTGGAGAACCTTTTTT